TCAGCTGAGGGAAGCCGTCCTGGCCCGAGTCCGACCTTCTCTGGAAAATGCGCCTGCTGACCTCCACGGGCTGCCCGTGCTCGTCCTCGTCCTCCGCGTCGCTCGACTTGCGCCGGGCGTTCTGGTAGACCACGGCGCACACGCCCGTGAGCCAGGCGGCCACGGTGCCCGCCGAGAAGATGCAGAAGCCGATGAGCAGCAGGAAGATGTAGTCCTGCCGGTCCAGGTGGGTGATGCACATGTACCGCAGCGGGTTCCCCACCTGCGTGATGGGCCAGCCGGCCAGCTCTGTGGGCTCCACGCACGTGGCGTTCTGATCATCTGGAGGAGAAGCACAGCAGGACATGGTGAATGGCGGAACCCCCGGCGTCAAAGGGCACCTGGAGAGGCGGCCTGGAGCCTGGCTACTCAGGGTGTGGGCTGGGGGCATCACCTGGGCCTCATCAGATGCAGCATCTCAGGCCCCGCCCAGCCCTCCTGGGTCAGGGTCTGCAGCTTCATGAGACCCCAGGGGCTTTGTGGCATGAAGTTTGAGAATCGTGGAGCCCAGGACTGCCTCCTGCCCCAGCTTAGCTTCCTTCGGGTCACCTCCGAAAATGGGCTTTGCTTCCAACAGTCCTCAGAGATCCAGACACCACAACAGGAGCGGGAGCGTTTGGAAACCTAGCAAGATGGCCACGGAGCGTGGACACTCCACAGCCCACCCCTGTGCTCCCTATCTCCCTCCCTCCCTCCCTCTCTCCCTCCTGGTGACCCAAGCTGTGTTTTTCTCTGCACTTGTGCCTGAGCCCAGCCAGGACCACAGAGGCCACCCCAGGTATCACACGCCACTTGTCCCAACGCTCAGGGACCAGATTCCCGGGAAGCCTCCGCAGCCGGGAGGAACCAGTGGGGAGAGAGCCGTCCGGGGAAGCATCACTGGCTGGTCACATGGTCCACACGCATCTTCAATCCTTTTTAGCAGCTGACTTTGCGGCCCGGCTCCTTCCCTTAGCACCTCCCACATCAGCCCCGTGGACTTCAGAGTAAAACAGAAAAAGAGGCTCTGCAGCCAGCGAGCTCAGGGCTCAAGTGCAGACTGTCACGCACGAATTTTGTACACATGGCGGTTGCCCGTTCTCCCCCCGAATCCCAGCCTCATCGTAGACGTGCAGAGAATGACACTCTTCTCAGAGTCCTGGCGAAGATGAGCTGCGGGGTGGGGGGTGGGGGCGGGGGGACAAGCTGCTGAATGAACTGCAGGCATCACACCACGGGGCTTACACTCAGGGTAAGCGAGATGAGCTGCGGGGTGGGGGGTGGGGGCGGGGGGACAAGCTGCTGAATGAACTGCAGGCATTACACCACGGGGCTTACACTCAGGGTGGGACCGGGGCTGGAATTAGCAAAATTCAAAGCCGAGCAGCGAAGATTGACCAAGTTCTGACGACATGCTAAGCGATGCCCAAGTGCTCTCTCACGGAATTCTTAGAACCACCTGCACAAGGAACGTTATCCTCCTCCTTCACCCAGAAGGAAACAGACTCAGAGCTGGTGTGCATCTGGAAGGTTCTAGATACCCGAGGATCCAGGCAGCATGGGAAGATGAGAACGTCTCACTGAGCGATCGCAGTGTGTTCTGCAGAAGTGGGAGCCTCAGAGCTGGTGCGGAGAGCAGCTCCCCCTAAACTCAGGGTGGGACTCCAGACCCTGTAGGGCGTGGAGCTCCTCGCTCAGGAAGGGAGGGGAATCGGGTTTGTGTTAGAGTGAGAAGCAGGAGAAGGCGAGAAAGGAACCGTGACTGGAGCTGATGGGGACCCGGCAGCGGGTGGGGTGGCAGGAGAGAGCGGCCAGGCCGAGGCTAGGCCCTGTCTGAGCTGGACGCTGCCCCTGCACGTGGCCGCTGGGACCCTGCACCTCCAGGGACACCGTGTCACCTCCAGGAGGGCCTCCCGTGGGTGTGTGGGGAGGGCTCCTCTGGGAGGGGATGCTGGCAAGGTGTCTGTGACAGAGGGGAGGAGAGGAAGGAAGGGAGCCCCTCTCTAGTCTGAGTGTGGACACCTGGGGCGCCCTCCCCAAGGTGACTGGCGGGAGAGGGAAGGGGCGGGTCCTGGGCCTCCCTCCAGGTTGCCCTCAGGGGCAGAGACACAGTGCTCCACGCCTCACGGTCAGCCCGGGTGGGTCCCGGGTCGGTCGGGGCTCTGGGAGGCCCGGGGTGTGGTGGGCGAGGCTCCTCGGGAATTCGGGCAGGAGGGGGCTCTGTCACTTGCCCGGGAACATGCAGACACAACATGGGAACATGCAGAGATGTGCCTGAGAAGGAAACGTGGGATTCGAGGGTCTGGGTGTGTCTGTTGTGGTGGGGGGGAGGTTTATCGAATTCTATTTTTAAAAAGAGTTGGCTTTCAAATTGGGGCTCCGGCTGCAGAGACTAAACATGAAACACTCATTTCCCCACTTGGAGCGCCACCTTGAAAGGAGCCCTTAGGCAGCGATTTCCCGCGTGTTGGGCTGCTCTTAGTGAGGGTGTGGGGGGCCCTGGGGAGGGCGCCTGGGTTTTTCTACCGACTTTCTCTCCTCCCCTTCCCTGTCCCTGGGAGGTGCCAGCTGTCCCCCCAGCAGGCCCCTATGCCCACTTTCCCCAGGTTCCCAGCAGTGGTTCCCTTCACACACGCCCGGGATTTCCCTGCTGCAAGCGCAGCTGTGCCCAGGGCTCTCGCTCAGAGCCTCCTCCACCCCTGCGGCCTCGGATCACCTCGGGCACCTGGCCGGGCCCTGAGCCCGGAGCACCTGCCCTTCCCGCCTTCTCGCCGACTTCTCAGCACTTCCGGCTGCAGCCCCCTCCGTGCCTCCGGCCCCCTCAGGGCCTCCTGCCCCTTCAGGGCCTCCTGCCCCCTCAGTGCCTCCTGCCCCGCCATTGCTCTCGCCCACCCAGAGTTGCCTTACACCTTTCCTTCCGCATCCAGAGCCTGCCCCCAAGTTTATGATCAGTTCCTCTCTGTCCTCTAAGGTCGAGTGTAAATGCACCCACTCAGGAGCCTTTCCCCGTCGCTCAGAGGACATACTGTCCCCACCGCTGCCCACCTGCAGCATTTCTTCCTGTCACCCCGATCGCCCCGTCGCGTGGTGGTCATTCACCAGGAAAGGGTGCACTGTTCCCTACCCCACAAGCCGACTTTAGCTCCTGTAACCCGTGTCTGATCATTATCCTTCCTGTTAATAGGAACTGCCATTCATTGAGAGAATTAGTTGATTTTTAAATACTTGGGGGATTCGATAGTAATATTTTTATTATTGAGTTCTAGTTTAATTCTACTGCGGCCAGAGACACACTCTCTATGATTTCAAGCCTTTGGAATGGATGGAGAATTTGCTTTATGGCTGAGGATAAAGTCAGTTTCAGTGCATTTGGCATGTGTCCTGAAAACATGTTCTGTCTTTATTAGGTACATTGTTGCACGGATGTAGGTTGTGGTTTTACAGACTCTTCTATATCGTCACCGACTTTTGATCTTTTCTGACTTTTATGGACTTTACTGGCTTTTCAGAACTGTCGTCTCTGAGCTGCTATTAGTCGATTAGTTGTGCATTCGCTATTGAGAGAAGTGCGGTCATCGAACCTGTGAAGCAGGAGGTCGTGGTTCGATTCCCGTCAGGGCACATGCCCGGGTTGTGGGCTCGACCCCCACTGGGCAGGATTATTCCCGTCAGGGCACATGCCCGGGTTGTGGGCTCGATCCCCGCTGGGCTTGTGCAGGAGGCAGTCAATCAATGATTCTCATCATCGATGTCTCTCTCTCTCTCCCTCTCCCTTCCTCTGTAAAATCAGTAAAAAATATTAAAAAATAATAAAGTCACCAGTTAAGTGTGCATTTGTCGACTTCTCCATATGGTTCTGTCTAGTTCGTCAGGGCACATGCCCGGGTTGTGGGCTCGATCCCCGCTGGGCTTGTGCAGGAGGCAGTCAATCAATGATTCTCATCATCGATGTCTCTCTCTCTCTCCCTCTCCCTTCCTCTGTAAAATCAGTAAAAAATATTAAAAAATAATAAAGTCACCAGTTAAGTGTGCATTTGTCGACTTCTCCATATGGTTCTGTCTAGTTTAGCTTTACGAATTTTCAAGCTAAGTTATTAGATGCAGGAAGTTACACCTGACATCTCTTCCTGGGACAGCTACCCTTTCTCACTGAACTTTTCCCCATCATCTCAAGTGATGGTCTTGTCTTACAGTCTCCTGTGTTTGGTGACATTAGAGGGCCGTATGGAATCTCTTTGGCCAGGCTCCCCCTTGTGTGTCCTTTCCCACGTTCCTACATTTAAGGTATAGTTTTGTGAGCAGCATGGAGCTGGATTTTGCTTTTCACCCAGTCTAGCGAACCATGCATTTGAATCAGCCCATTAGCATTTCTGTTTGTTTCTGTTCACCCTACTTATTTGCGTCCCTTTTCCTCCACTTTGTTGCTTTCTGTTGTGTCATGTCATTTCCTTTTCTTTAATTGCCCATCCTTCCCCAGAGGTTATAGAGCCATCTGCTGGCCTGGAGTACCTGATGTGTAGTTAGTTTTACAAACTAACCCCTGTCACCCCACGGGTAGTTGTAATTATTCCCAGGCTACAGAGTGAATACATCGCTTGTAAAGTATCCTCTCTCTGGCTCGCCTGATCTCCTTGCCTCTGACCAAGAGCTACCAGGCACCGTGGGCACATGTGCACTGCACGACTCCGGGCCTCGTTCACGGCACACAGGTGACCGGGCCCCATGCAGTCCCTCGCTCCGCCCCATTCCACGGGCCAGGGCATTCGCCCCAGTTAAAGCTCCCAGGTGTAATTACAGGCGTCATTAATGTTTAAATTCTTCCCGCAAATAGTTCCTAAGGAGACATAACCCACCCCTTGTTTACATCCACATGTAGCACGCTGCTCACAGGTGGGAGCCGTGTGCCAGAATCCGATGCCGGGAAGCAAGAGTTTCTGGGCCCAGAGCCACAGCTGCTCGTGCAGGCGCCCAGGGAGCCCCCTCTCAGAAATCCAGCCTGAACCCCATGGATCCGAGAGGAACTGCTTCTTCCCTGGTCTGTAGAAGGGACTGTGGCTCAGCATACATTGCCTGCTCCCCAGAAAGTCACCACAGCCCTTCACGGCTGGTCCCTTGGCCCTTTCCAGCTGCTCCCACGTGCTGCTGGGCCACCTCCGCACGGGGAGCTCTTCCCCCAGAGGGAGACGAGGAGGCCCGGTGGCTGCTTTGGCCCACCGTCCACTGCTGCCCTGCAGGCCTGAGTACATGGGAACCCGAAGGGCCGTGCCTGGAGGCCTGGCCTTCCTGAGCTCCCAGGAACCTAGGTCACCTGCTCAGGGATCCCACCGGGACTGAGTCCGGGAGAATCACCAGGACCCTTCCGGAACCGCACTGGCCCCCCATCGTTTCTTGGATTTTCTGGGTGGCGTAGGGTCATTGACTCAGCTGTGGCCCAGGCTGACAGCTGGAGGGAGCAGGCCAGGTGCTAGTGAGAAGGTGGGGGCCATGCTGGCGGAGCACTCGCCAGCCAGGAATGCCTACTCCCGGCTCCCCAGCTCCCCGGCTCCCCGCCAGTCTGCCCACTGCAATCCCCGATGGAGGAGATTGTCAGCGGAGAGTGCGGGGACCTGAATTCATTCTGGAAATCTACGTTTTGGCAAGTCATGGGTGACTTTCTACTTTCTGGGTTGAAATGGGGCCATTGTCCAACAACAGCAGCTTTGAATGCAGGACTAAGATGTTCTCTGCTCAGACGCCCTCAAATGACTTGGATCCGAAGCAGCCAGGCCCGAGCCATCTGCCCCCTGCAGACGTCCCAGGGGGCTCCGCCCGGCCTCTTGACACTGCTGCCCAGACCTCACCCCAGCAGGACTGCCCAGGACCATGACTGAGAGCCGACACAGGGCCCCTGTCCTGAAACTGTCCCCTCCCGCCCCTGGTACCTGCCCCTTCTGCGTTCTCACTGTTTCTGACTGTCCCGTCACATCACAAATGCCCCATGAGGCAGGCGTTTCGTAACATCATCAACCACTAACATCGCAGCGCAGGTCATGTTGGAGCAGCCGTTGAGGGTCTGGAACACAGGCCATGGTCACAGGGTCCTCAGAATGTGGCCGAGGCGCACCTGTGCCCCCAGCTCTCTGGTCAGAATCTCTGGACTTGGGGTTCCTGGCTCGTTAGAGCTTGAGAACTGCTGGTTAAGCAGGCCAGGCCTGGGAGGAAAGTCGGGGGCCTGTGGGCGGGGATTGGAGGCGTCGTTCTGGTCAAGTAGAGGCAGGAAGACAGGAGTTCCCCCGGGAGGGCAGACTTAGAGGCTGCCTGCTTCGCGATCACACCCCTTAACTGTGTGACCAGGGCCTCATCTCTACGGACACCCCCCTCGGCACCGCCCCACCGAGGCACAGCTGGGACCCTGTCTGCTGACCACGAGCTCCCCCTCACTTCCTCCAAGGGCATCTTCTCTCTGTTTCGGTCCTTGGGCTGCCAGCCAGAAGGGGCCTTAGCGAGTGTCTCACCTGGCACCCCTATCCCGAGCACAGAGGGACTTGGAGACTCAGAGGGCCCCCCCCCCCCGAGCCACCCGGGCAGCGCGGGCACCAGGACCGTGCTCTGGCTGTGTTTTCTCTCACTGTGTCCTAGACTGTCTCATTAAAGACAGGAACTACGCCTTGGTCCTCTGTGATAAAGGACCCCAACAGCTTGGCCACATAGTGAACATACATCCAGAGCGTGAGCTGAGTGGACTGTGGGCTGCCCCATGGCAGTGGGGGAGTGTTGAACTTGGATGTGGGGAGAGCTCCATGCTGTGAGGAGCTGGATTCTTTTAAAAAATATATATTTTATTGAATTTTTACAGAGAGGAAGGGAGAGGGATAGAGAGTTAGAAACATCGATGAGAGAGAAACATCGATCAGCTGCCTCCTGCACACCCCCTACTGGGGATGTGCCCGCAACCAAGGTACATGCCCTTGACCGGAATCAAACCCAGGACCCTTCAGTCCGCAGACCGACGCTCTATCCACTGAGCCAAACTGGTCAGGGCGAGGAGCTGGGTTCTTAAGCAGCCTGTATTCAAAGGTGGCCTGACCAGTGTGGTAGCCACTAGCCATTCCCGTGGCTGTTTAGATGTATTGAAATGAAGTACAATGGGGAATTCAGTTCCTCAGTTGCACTGGCCATATTTCAAGAGCGCAGTGGCCCCACATGGCCCCTGGACTGGACAGCTCGGATCTAGATGGTCTCCACTGGGCAGCGCTGGACCGGACCTTGGGGTGGCAGGGCGGGGGATGCGGAGGCCGGGTCCTTCTGCCCAGGAGCGTAACGTCACGTGCGCTTCTGAGAGCATCCTCAGGGGCTCCGACCCGTCCCGCGAGGGAGGCTGTCCCTCAGAGCTCAGTGGCCCTCCCACCTTCCAGTAGCAGCAACGACTGGAAAATTAGAGTCTGGCAGGAGCTGTCCTCTTTGCTGGCCTCGGTGGGTCTGTTCTACCCGCGAGAGCGCCCGGCAGCCGGCACAGGACCGCGCACCTCCACTGCTGGGGTGTGCGGGCTCCGAAGTGAGTCCTGAATTCTGAGAACTGATGGTTTTCAGTGCATCTGGTGACTAACTCATCGGAGGGTTTCTTTAGGTAAGACCTTTGGTAATAGCATCAAAGTTTCGATATTCCTACTCAGTGAGTTATCCTGAAGTCTGAAGAGTGGAGCGCCCTCTACAGCCGCTCTGGGGGGCGAGTTTAGCCAACAGGTGACCTGGGAAAGACTCATGGTTGCCCTGCCTGGCACCTTTTGCTTTAGGGCCTCTCCATTCTTCCCTGGACCCCGACTTCCTTCAAGGTTCCTGGGTAAGCTCAGCTAATTGGATTTCCCAGGAATTCCCTCCTCCCTCTCAGAGAGCTGGTAAAGATTTAGGGGCACTTGTATCATTTGGGCCAGAAGTTCATGTAGTTTTGTAGGGTCCTCTTCTAGGTCAGGGCACTTTGGGGACTCAGAAGGGTGAATCTGAAATGGCTAATTTCAGCCCCGTGGGAGCAGGGGAGGGGGAGATCCTGGGGCAGAGGTATTGCTCGGTTCTCTCCACAACATCCCCAGATCACACCAGATGGATTGTTCTTTCTCTCCGGGCCCTGTCTGCCCACAGTGGGGCTGCCCTCCTTGCCCTTGTCCATAGAAAGCCACCTGTGTGTCCACACCTGTTTCTGGAGGTGGGGCTTGTCTTTAGGTGAAGATTCAGTTCCAGACTCAGCAACAGCCACCTGGCTCTGCTGGCCACGCCCCAGTCCCATGGCCCAGGCTGAGGCCAAGCCTTGATCTGGGCTTAGGTTTTGTTCTCAGGGTCTGAACTCCTATGTCCATAACTTGCCCAATAGCCCAGCTCAGTCCTAGGTAGGTTGGGCTGAAAGATGAGGGAGGAAGCACCGGGGAGCCCAGGGGCCATGGCAGGAGGGTGGGGACAGTGGATAGAAATCTACCAGATGAGACTTGGGAATCTACCTGTGACATTGACATCTCCCTGCTGGGATGGTGGCACGCGTGGCCCATTCTCCCAATTCAGGCTGTCCCCGTCTGCCTTACGAGGGGAGTACCTTGAAGACAAAGGCGCTGTCTTATCAAAGTCTGTCCCCGGCCTTGCCCTCTCCCTCTCTCCCTGTCCAGGTGCTCACATGCCCCCTCCTTGCCTATCAAACTTCCCCCTCTATACATCGTACTATGGATTTTCTACTGCCTGTGAGTGACTGAGGGCACTTAGATCCCGAAACAGCGGGTCACTGAGCCTAAATAGTTCCCGGTGGAATACAGTGTCCCTGTATTACTTTGCCCTACTGGTCCTTTATCATTTCCACACACACTGTTTCATGGTGTCACGACACCTCTGTATGTTTGGTAACATTATTGTCCCCACTTTATGGATCAGGAAACTGAGGCTCAGAGAAATTGAGTTTCCCAAGGGCAGCTAATGGGCAAGTGCTGAGTTTGGGACTAGAACTCAGCCCTTTGAATTCCTTATTGGCTCTCCAGTCAACTCAAGGATGGCCCTGCAGAGCAGTAAGAATGCTTCCAATCAGCTTCACCCTGATGGCCCTCCCATCCTGACCGGCTCTTTTTCTATTTCATCATTATTATTTTAAAATATTTTTTTATTGATTTCAGAGAGAGGGAGTGAGAGAGATAGAGACATCGATGAGAGAGAAATATCCATCAGCTGCCTCCTGCACGCCCCCTACTGGGGATCCATTCAGCAACCCGGGCATGTGCCCTGACAGGGGATCAAACCTGTGATCTCCTGGTGCATGGGACGACACTCAACCACTGAGCCACACCGGCCAGGCCTGGACATCTTATGACTTCCCTTTTCTGGAACCCATGGGTCCGACGCCAGCACATCCTCCCCCACACCCAGCACGTCCTCACCTGGGTGGTTCAGATGGGTCACGATTAAGTAGATGGTGAAGTCCAGGAAGGAGCAGTTGCACTTCCAGGGGTTCCCGCTCAGGTACAGGGTCTGCAGGGTGAGGAGGTTTTGGAAGGCACTGTGGTCCAAGGTCTGCAAGCCGGTGTTCCTGAGGTCCAGGTGCCTCAGAGAGCTGGTGTTGGCAAAGGTGTACTTATTCAGAGCGAGCAGGTGAGGGTTGTTGGAGATGTTCAGCTGCACCAGGTTGCTGAGCATGGAGAAGCTGTACGGGGAGACCCAGCTCAGGTTGTTGGAGCTGAGATCCAGGTAGAGGAGCCTGAAGACCCCGATGAAGGTGTAATCCATCACCTCGCTGATCAGGTTGTCCCGACAGTCCAAGTAGACGAGGTCGCTGAGGAGGCCTAGATTCATGGCTGGCAAATAGGTGATGCTGTTGTTGTTCAGGAAGAGCCGCCGGGTGTTCAGGGGGATGTCAGGGGGGTACTCCGTTAACTGGGTCCCCGTGCAGATCACCTCCTCGGCTTGACACTGACAACTAGGTGGACACTTGGACCCCGACACCAGTCCCATTCCAAAGGAAAAGAGTAACCACCTGGGCCCAGGGCCTGAAGCAGGGGACATAGTAGGCAGCCACGCGTGACTGCTCTCTCCTACCACCTCCTGGGACAGGCCGGCTGTCCCTCCGAAGGCTGTGGAGGGGCGGGGGAGGGGCGCCGGAAAGAACTAGCAGTCTAGTTTTGTGCAAAGCGATTTTCCATTACAGGAGAAGCGAACAGAAGCTGAAACACGAGGCCAGCCCTGAGCTTCCCCGCCCGCCCAGCCAGGTGGCTGGCTCCCAGGCTGCTCCTGGAAGCCTGCCCGCAGGGCTCTGAGAGCTCTCACCCTGGCCCTGTGTCTGCCAGTGAAGGGGAGCCAGGGGGCAGCCACGTGACAATGGGGTGGCCAGTTGACCCCTTTGTGATGTCAGCAGGCTCAGGGGACTGCCTGGCTGAGGAGCAGGCCCTGCCTCTCCTGGGGGTGTGGTGGGGTTTGTGTGTAAGGGGCTGTCCCTGGCGTTGTGGGGCTGCAGTGTGTGTGTGGTCAGGTTACACTGGGCCCCTAACCCAGGGGCCGGGGAGGGAACAGGGAGGTCTCCCGTCCAACTCCCTTCCTTCCTGAGGCGCCTGAAGTGACTTGGGTTCCTCCTCGGAGGGGCTTTCCCTTGGGTCTTGAGAGAGAGGGTGCCATTTTTTGGGTGTTGTCAGCGAAGACGGGGTGGGGGAGCCTCCTTTGAAACGAGCCAGGGCGCCGTCTGACTGCTCTCCTGTTTGCACAGCGCTGCCTGCATTTGCAACATATGGGTGCGCTGGTGTTTTTAAAACTATTTGAACAAGTATGAGCTACTCCCCTTAACACAAAACCCAAATGTATTTTAAAAATCTGAGTGCGTTGTTATGAACCATCTCTTAGCGTTTGTATTCTCCTAAGACTTTTAAAATCGTGAGTGCGTCTGGCGTGAGCTTATACTCACTACCTACCTGCTGGGTCTTTGGGCCGGATGGAGGGGAGAGCCCCTTAAGGTTAGAATGTGTCATCCACTTAAGAAAATAGGATTTCATTCTTTAAAACATTCAAATCGAACTTAGCTGTGATTATTAATAAAGTAATGAAGGCTATATTTAGCCCAGCACGGTGCCTGGCCCCTGGTGGGTAATAAATATTTATTGAGCGGCGGATGCGTGAACGTCTCCGGTGGTTGGTTCTGTCTCCTGCTTCGGTGCCAGGAGAGCCATGAATAAGCCCCGGTGGACGGCGGCTGTGGCCGACGCCTGATTGTTTACTTACTCAGCATTCCTCAGTGGCGGCCGCGAATTAAGATGATGACTTGGGAGTGTTTACCAAATTGAAAGTGACCTTATTTAAGTAGAAAATGCAAACACTTAAAATAATGACCCAGATGATCATTGTACTAATTGAAGCCGGGTTCGATTGATTGGGGCTCACCCTCTCCCTATAATTAAAAACAAGCTCCTTGCTGGATCTCACATGATTGCCCAGGAGAGAACCTGGCGCAGGACGGCCATGGCGCAGAGTTAATGCCCAGGCCCTGGTTTCCCGTGGGCCCGGGGCTGGGGCTGTGGTTAGGCGGCGGGCTGTAGGGATGCTTTCCTCAGCGTAGGCTGTCTCCTTTTTTTAAAAAGTTGAATTTGTAGGGGTGACATTGGTTAATGAAATTATATGGGTTTCAGGGGTACAGTTCTATAAACATCATCTGTATATTGCGCTGTGTTCACCACCCCAAGTCCAGTCTCCTCCCACACGCTGGCTGGCTAGGAGGGTTCACTTGCTGTTTTGCTGACTCCCTTGGTTGTGTCTCCTTCTCATGAAAGCTGAGCGCGGCCGGACCTGCCGAGGCGCTGAGATCTCACTGACTCCCACCTCTTCTTTCACACCCTCTTCCTCTTTCCGCCTCTTCCTTTCTTCGGGGGGCCTGTCTCCAGGTCACCCCATTTAATTCCCAGCCCGAGACAGTCGCCCTGGTCTCAGGCTTACCTGTCTGGCCCTATGATTACAAGAGCTTCCGCTTAGCAGGGCCTCAGGTGAGGAAAGCACGCCTGCGGTTACTGAGCACACCAGCGGCCGCGGGCCGTCCCGAGGACCGTCTGAACCAATGGCTGCCCTCAGCTGCCCTGTCGCTGGAGCGGCTGTGCGTTTGGTCCTGAAGTCTGAACACCTGGGGTAGTCTCAGCTTTGCCCTTTAGACCAGATCTCGCCAATGTTTCTCATTTTGAAATTTACCTTTCTTTCTTTTTTTAAATCCTCACCGAGGATATTTTTCCATTGATTTTAGAGAGAGCGGAAGAGGGAGGTAAAGACAGAGAGAAACATTGATGTGAGAGAAGCACATCGATTGGTTGCCTCCTGCATGCAGCCGACCAGGGTCTGGGCCAGGGAAAAGCCTGCGACCAAGGCATGTGCCCTTGACCAGAATTGAACCCGGGACTCTTCAGTCTGCAGGCCTAGGCTCTATCCACTGAGCCACACTGGCTAGGGCTCATTTTGATTCTGAGTAAATATTTGTTACCTGGAGGATGGGTGGGCCAGTCAGGGGAGAGTAGAGAACGTGGCAGGATCTCAGACTCCCTAAGATCTTTCTTCAAGGAACATCTTAGAAGACATATTTCAGGGATCCTGCTTTGGGAGTTTCGGACTGGGCTCCTTGCCCTTGTTCAGTTGCTGGGCAGCTCTGGCCTTTATTTTTCTCATCTCTTATCGAGGGAGGCAGACTGGATAACCCCCGACTTTCCTAGGACTTCCACATTCCTGCTTGTTGTGAAGGTTTCCGGCCCTACCCATCCCGCTCAGCACAGCATCATGGCCCACCTGTCAGGTGGCTGCAGATGGAACGTGCCCCCCCAGCCAGCGGCTCCTGCAGCATCAGCCACAGCTAGGCTGCCCTTGGTGCGGGCAGTTGTTTAGCTGCCTGCCTCAGCCCTAGGCAGTCATGTGACCGTCCTGCCGCCAGCACGGTGGGTGTCGCATGAGCGTGTGGAAGCCCCTGGGTCAGGGCAGTCCCTACCTGAGTCCGTCTTGGGCAGGCGCCTCCTTTTAGTCACATCTGATGGGGACACTGCCTTCCCAGCTCAGGGATCCTCTCAGATGCCAGCTCTCTCCAGACCCAGAGACAGGTGGGCACAGCCCAGTGCTGTAAGGGGAAAGGGCAGGTGACGCAGAGCAAAGGGACCCCCTGGGAGCAGTGGGTGACTGTGCAGTGGGACTTAGAGACCTACTGGGGCCTGGATTTCCTTTCCACGAACCCAGCCAGGTGCTCCCCAGGGCCCCTCCCCAAGTGTAAAGCTCCATCCAGACCAGTCTGTGCAGGGAGGGGACCGAGGCGTGAAGCATCAAGGCCCAAGCCCTGAGGACAGAGACTCAAGTGACGACACGGTGCCTGGCCCAGGGTGAGCCGCCTGTCAGCGTTGGCCAGTGAACACCCCGCAGGTGCAGGGTCATGTGCTAGGGAAATGGATTTGGGCAGGCTTATTTCTCATGAGAAAAACAGAAACAAATGCACGTGCCCCTTTATTAAGTTCAAGTTCCAGGTTCACCCACCCTGGCACCCAAGTCCGTGCTGTGCTCTGCTTCCCGGCAGGGGGTGTGGGTTCAGGTCTAAAGAACATTATCAGGGACTTGGCTGCAAGGGGCGCTATGGTATCCAGTTCACTCAGACTTTTGATCCCACGGAGTCCTTTCCAGGGGATGGGCTGGGAAGCCCCTGACCAAGGTCATCCGGGAAGAGAAAAAAGTTCCCAAACATGTGGGAGGCGGTGGCTCCGGGCCAGATGCATGGACCTCGATCTGGTGCATCTCCACGCAGCTGGGTCTGTTTCTAGACCAGCTGGTGGGGACTATTTTTGTCTTTTCCCTTCGGGCTGCCTGCACCACTGCCACCGGCTCCCATGTGCTCCCCTGAGGCCTGTCCCCCACGTGCTCCCAGCGAGGCCTGTCCCCACGTGCTCCCAGGGAGGCCTGTCCCCCACGTGCTCCCCTGAGGCCTGTCCCCCACCTGCTCCGCATTAAACTGCTCGGCAGCTCTGCCACCTGGAGCCACCCCAGAGGATGCCTTGCAACTGAGCCTCGTTTTGAGGGGGTTGGGTCACTACTTCAGCTCATAACGAATCTACATACTGTACTGTAGCGGTCACTGTGCCTGAAACTCACGGTGGGACCCAGTTTGTGATCTGGGAGGACGCTCCTGGCAGTTGCTGGGGTCTCTCACGGGCAGAAGCTGGGATGGAGTCTGAGCTTTGAAATGAGCGGTTTGGGCAGGCGCCCGAGCTCCTCCGGGCAGCGGTTTCCTCTTAGATAGACAGGGACAACGACAGCTCTTCCAGGGCTATGATCAAGACCGCGTGTGATTGGATGTGAGACAGTCACGGTCACGAATCGCCCGGGTCAGGCATGTGATCCTCCCACAAGCCAGTGCGTCACGTGGCGGCCCCCATCTTACAAATGAAGAAGCTGCCCGGGTGCCCCTTGCTGAGGTCATGAGCTGGTGGCTGAGGGAGGCAGGAGGTGGCCCAGCTGGTTTTACTCCTGAGCGTGAGCCCGAATTATTCAGTGCGTCCACCCGCACCCACGCAGACCCGCGGAACGACCACTGTTGTACCTGCAGGCGCCAGGCGAGGACTCCCCCATCCACACTCCGGGCACCTGGCCTCCAGGCCGAGCAAACCATGGCTGCAGGGTCTGTTCAGCCTGGGGCTCCTGTCTTGCAGGAGGCTCACGACACTTTCCGCTCTAAACTCCTGCCTCCCTTTGAGATCGTCTCCTGTCATTCTCTTCGTTTTACAGGCGAGGGATCTAAAAGCAAAAAACTTGCTAATCTCACTCAAAAAGTGAGTGCTTGGCAGCAGCAGCTGACCCCCCGCTGCCTGAGGCGACACGAGTCCCTGTGTAGCGGCTCCTGGAGGGAGGGTTCCTTCCAAAGGTCTGGAGCATGTGTGTCCATGGCAACCCTGGGCCCCGCACAGCTATCGGAGCCCCTGGGAGCTACGGAGACCTCCCCAGAGCAGGTGTGCCCCGCCCCCCCACCCCGCCTACTCCTCTGAGCAATGCTGATGCTAAAGCCCCATCACAGAA